GTTAACTTCATGTCGGTGGATACTCCCCTCCTGACCAAAGAATGCACCACGTCACACACATCGACTTCGAAGGGGAGCTCGAGGCTGCGGCTTCTCCCATCCATTCAGATGACGGCTGGCTGCGCTAGAGTTTTGACACAGGAGGAGGAGACAAAGGAACGCTGGTCGTGGTGACTGCACTGCATTCACGTTCGAAAAAGACACGATTCGTTCGTCTACCATAGACACTGGCATCTATACAATAGAGCACGAAGTCTCTGTACGTCGCGGTTATGTGCATGAAAAGGTCACATGAACTATCAGCTATAGCCTTCCCCCACGGGTGTCCAGGCAATCTCCCTCCTCAATCGTTCTTCTTGGCTGGAACGGCTGATGGAAGAGCTTGATGGAGACGACCCGCTTGACGTTACTGTTGATGATGTCCTGCATGAACAACCCGAGTAAGCGACATACAACACATAACAGAACGTCGTCTTCCTCCTGCACTCACTCACTCACTCTTCATGTGATGAGAACAACCCCACTATCCACCCGGACAAATCCAATGCGAGGTCTGAATGACCACACAGACATGAACGCCACCCACCTGTGTGTGTGGAGGCCATTCGTGAGGCCACTGTTTGGAGGGACCAGACACGTAGGCGCATCGGTTGGGACGATACGAACATGTTAGAGTACAAGTTCGCCAGCCAGGAGGAGGCCAAGGAGGTTAAGGAAGACCACACAGACATGAACGCCACCCACCTGTGTGTGTGGAGGCCATTCGTGAGGCCACTGTTTGGAGGGACCAGACACGTAGGCGCATCGGTTGGGACGATACGAACATGTTAAGAGTACAAGTTCGCCAGCCAGGAGGAGGCCAAGGAGGTTAAGGAAGTGGTGGACAAGCGTCTGGACTTTGTGAAGGACGATGAAGGCTGGCCAGACAGGAAGCACTTGTCTGTGTCAATCACGAGGGCCTGCAGGGTCTACGTTAAGTGTGATCTCAGGTACGATCGGCGGCCGTCGCCTCTGGTGACGGTCGGCTCCCTGACACGACCACACTCTCACGCCGGGGCTGTGCAGCAGCCTCACCGCTCCCCTGTTGCTGCAGGGGCGGCGGTGGTGGCTGTGTCGACACTCCATGACCGAATGGCGGTGGTGGGGCAGGGGGCTGAATAACAATATGCTGCTCGTCGCCACGGCCGTAGGGCTGCGAAGCAGATGCGTGAGTCGTCACCAGGCCTCCCCCCTGACCCATCTCGAGCGGACCCGCCCACTGTGTTGGGGCCGCCATGGCCCGCTCCTGCTAGTGGGCAGTCGCCCGCTCCATCAGAGAACGCCTAACCCTCCCCTCCTCGTGACGCTCCATGGCGGCGAGCTCCTCGAGGTTGCGGAGCTTCCACATCCGCTCCCCTTCCGCCCGACTGCCGGGCGGCCCCGCCTGCCAGCTGGCCTCCTCGATTTGCCGTTCGATGGCCTTGAGTTTGGCCTGGTGGTCTGCCAGCAGCTCCCGCATGTGGTAGGTCACCAACTCCCTGCCCGGGCACCTGACCGACTCCCGCACCGACTCTCTTGCCCTTTGCTCCCTCATCGGATCAGCCTGAACGAACGGCTGGTATCGTTGGATCGCCGCCGTCTGCGCAGGCGGATACTGGAGTGCTGGTGCCGTCGCAGGCGTCAAAGGGCTGTTGCGGGGTGAGTACCAAACGTCGGTCTCAGCGGGGTGTGGGGGCGGAGCTGAAGCGATGGAGGGGTGGTGGTATGTGGGGCTTGGGGCTACAGGTTCTGCCGTGTGGCTCTGGGCGCCACCTGGCATCGTGTGCGATGGACCCGACGCGCTGTCTGTGTTGGTGAGTGGACGAAGGCCGCCTGTGCCCTCATAGTCGCCACTCCCCGCCGTTGCCTCGTTTGCATGACTCTGTTCTGCTGGATTCGCTGACGCTATCACCTCCGTGAGGCACTCGGTGAATAGCCGTAGCTCGTCTTCGCTGTAGTAGTTGCGTTGCGCCAGTTGGTCCCGCAGGTCCATTGCGAAAGAGAATAGAGGTCGTGCCGACGCAACAGGGATTACTGGAGAGTCTGTAGAGTTGGCGTAGTGATGCGGGGTGCCGGTGAGTCGCCGCCGCCTCTCTGGCACTGGTGGGAGGGAGGACAGATGCGCTCCTCGTGCGGGTGCTGAGGCGAGGGGTTGGGGGGGAGGGGTAGACTCCGCAGGTTGATCAAGCCCTTGGAGGTCCTCCCTGGTGGCTCCCGCCGTCGGATTCCGTTGCCGCCGCATCCCAGTTGTATTTTGTCAGTCAGCGTAACAGCTTGCTGCGCCCATGTGATAGATGTGATGTCGCCGGGTGAACGTATGCTGGACCGCAATGCGGATGTGAGTGACGCAGTTCACCACAGACGTATAGTGGGTAATACGCAGATGTCCAATCGAGAGTCAACGACACAAGAACTGCACCACACCACACCACACACATGACACCAGCTACACACAACACCATAGGTGAGATGGACAGCGATGTGTGTGTAAGGGGGTGGGGCGAGTAGCGTACCAGCGGTCCATACACAAGATGCCCCGATGACACAAACCGAACACGACACCACAGATGTACCGTCACCCTGCACCACCATCCACACGCAGAGCGCGAGAGAGAGATGGTGGATGGAGTCAGCCATATGTGATGGCATGTGTGTGAGGCAGACGTACCAGCAGTATGTGGGGACACACTCGTGATAACCCAGTCAACCGAACACACCATGAACGACCCCCTGCACCAGCATACCATCCACACAGAGAGAGGTGATGGATGGTCCGCATCACGCGTGTAGGTGCGTACCAGCAGTAGTGAGTAACGCCCCTGGTATGCCCAAGTCACAACCAACCAACCAAATCACACACCCAACCTAAGAACACCATACGATGCAACACAAGCCAGTGGTGAGCATGGTCGTGGCCCAGAGAGCAAGTGCGGTGTAGATCCGTACCAACGAGAAGGGCTACGACCCTGGTGTGAAGGCAGCCAAGGCTCATGCCATGCCAGTAGAGTACACCAAGCACACTGCAGCCATCCGACACAAGAGAGTGATGTGCGGATAGATAGTGGTGCGTGTGAGATGCACGGATACGTACCTGTACAGACAGACAGGTGTTGTAGGCGTGGTACTCCGTTGGTCATGGTCATGCCCAGGGCTGCGAGCTGCAACACCGTCAAACGGATGCATGCATCTCCAGCCCCACTGCAATGAGCCATGGCCAACATCGTACCAATCGCCATCAAAACCAAGCGTGGCTACAATGGGCCAAAAGCAGGAGGCCAAACACAATACACAGCGTCATGTAGGCGCGACAACGAGAGCGCGAGGAATGCCGGGAGGCCGGCTTGTTTGCTTCGCTGCTTGTCTTGTGCTCGCTTTGCCCCGATCTCGAGTCTCCCTCCTCGCCATCTTCGCGGGTCGCTGTCTGAATGTGGCGATGCACGTCACCTACTGGGTTTACTTGTTGCACAGGAGTTCTGTCCGGTGTTAAAACGAGCCACGAAACGCCCCGGCGTGACCCGCAAACACTCATCGGGTCCTCTGCCCCCGGCCCATGTGATCGACAAGTCGCGGATAGGCCTGAACAGCGACGCGTCATGCATACAACACCAGCAGATGAACGTATCGTACATGCATTCTCACCTGATTGAAGTACTTGTCGTAAGCACCGTGCTCCCAGTCTCGCCTGACGCGACGTATGAGGCCCTCGATGTTTTGCCCCGTGTTGCGCGCGAGATTAAGACCCTTGAAGGTAAAGCCCTTTGCAGAGCTCGTCGGCAGCTTGGTCTCGTAGAACACACTACAGACACACACACAGGAAAAAGCAGCGCGTGTGGTGTTCCGCAACGCTCGCTTTTCCTTCCCTGCTCACACATGTCTGTTGACAACAGGGTCATGCTTTCGATACGCCAGCCTCATTGCCTTCTTCGCTGGACTCTTTGTTGTTCGGTAGATGAAGGATGTCTGAGCGCCACTCCTCAACTCGACCTTGATGCGCCGAGACTTGTTTCGCAACATGATGGGCGTAATAAAGAACATTGACCCCGACACGTACACCACACACGTCAACCAGCGTATGTCTGTGTTGCTCCTCTCACTCTCGTCAAGTCAACGTCAAGACCCGTACGGGTACGAGCCGGGCTGCGAGCGGTGAACAGCTCTCCCACAGAGGACAATTAGTTGTTGACTGATTCACTATTGCCACGCGGGGCACGTCTATGGTTGCTTGGTTATTGTGTTTAACGAGACTCGTGTCGGTAATCCCGAAGGGGATCCTGTCCATATCGCGCACTAAACTAGCAGCATGCACATGCATAGAAGCATGCACACGGCCTATCTCCCCATCCCACCCACCCACTCGACATGCATGTGCCACCCTATGATGGTCAGAAAAATCACTGATCTGGAACTCCCGGTACAAACGACATCAGTTTGCTGGAGTCTGCTCTAAGCCTTAAGGTGCCTGCGTTGAAATTGAAATGATTGGATAACAATGCATCTGGATCCGAGTGAAGTGCAGCGATAATTGGTGGACACCGGAGACTGGATATCAATCGAAGACATGGATATCAAATCCATGTCTCCGATTGATACACCGGAGACATGGATATCAATCGAAGAAATGTGATGAAATGTAGTCATATCCGAAGGGGGGTGGCCTTCCGCCTGAGCGGAGAACTTGAAGGCCCTTCTCTTTGACGTCTTTGGATCCGCCCGGATCCAGCTATCTCGGTGAAGGCGAGAAAGAGTGGGTGTACCTTTCGAGAAGCTGTTCTACGTGGTCATCTTGTATGTGCGAGACGTTTTCCAACACCAAGGCGGATATCCGGAGCTGCCAATCATCATCGACATCACCCGCACAGTAAGGGTACCCACGCACACACAGGTGGGTTGCGTTCATGTCTGTGTGGTCGTTCAGACCTCGCATTGGATTCGTCCCATCCTTTTCATGTCCGACATCCTTTGCATTCCGAGTGGATAGTGGGGCTTTTCTCATCACATGAAGAGTGAGTGATTTTTCATCACATGAAGAGTGAGTGAGTGAGTGAGTGCAGGAGGAAGACGACGTTCTGTTGTGCGTTGTATGTCGCTTACTCGGGTTGTTCATGCAGGACATCATCAACAGTAACGTCAAGCGGGTCGTCTCCATCAAGCTCTTCCATCAGCCGCTCCAGCCAAGAAGAACGACTGAGGAGGGAGATTGCCTGGACACCCGTGGGGGAAGGCTATAGCT